AAATCAGGAACAATCTGAAGCATCTCTCACAGGCCTTTCTTTGGATTCCCAGAGAGGGAGGAGTCACCAATCTTCATTCATAACAAGCTTTGATTTCAGCTATTACAAGGAAGCAGGAATTGAGATCCTGGCCTTAAGCCGGGTGTAGCATTGGAACAGAGAACCTCAATAAAATGAGAAACTTCAAAGGGACACTCTGTGGTGCAAAGAGCAATGAGTGAAAAATTCACCCACTGGCAAGCAGAGATTAAGAGTAAGTTTGACTATTTTGGTCCCCACTAGACGTAGGTAAAAATTTGCCTAAAATTCGAAATCAAGATTTGTCCTACTTGTATAGGAGTTCATATGTAAAGAACATACATGAATTGGGAAGCACAAAGCTGAGAGAATAACATAAAAAGTGATCTGCCCCGAGCAGCACCACCGGGCACCAGCAGAAGACTTCAGAGTCTCATGAATAACCTCCATAAGTCTCAGCCTAAAACACACAACCTTGCATGCTACCTCCTTCCCCTTCCTCTGCTTCCTTGCATTTCTTTTTTCTTTCTTTTTAAGATTTGTTTATTTATTCTGAAAGGCAGAGTTACAGAGAGGGAGAGGCAGAGAAAGACAGAGAGCTCTTCATCCGCTGGTTCACTCCCTAATTGGCTGCAATGGCTGGAGCTGTGCCAATCCGAAGCCAGGAGCCAGGAGTTTCCTCTGGGGCTCCCACATGGGTGCAGCAGCCCAAGGACTTGGGCCATCTTCTACTGTTTCCCCAGGCCATAGCAGAGAGTTAGGTCAGAAGTGGAACAGCTGGGTCTCAAACTGCCTCCCATATGGGATGCCGGCACTGTATGCAGCAGCTTTATCTGCTATGCCAAGGCACCGGCCCCTCCTTGCATTTCTATGTCACTAATTAATCAAAATCACCCAGAGATAAACAAATTATGTGGCATAGTGGTTTGGGTTGTAACCTTTAGAAACAGCTTCCTATAATGTTGGTGGTGGGACTGGCTCTGTGGCATAGCAGATTGAACCTCCACCTGCAGTGCCAGCGTCCCATATGGGTACCGGTTTGTGTCCTGGCTGCTCCTCTTCCTATGCAGCTCCCTGCTAATGGCCTTGGAAGGCAGTAAAAGATGGCCCAAGTGTTTGGGCCCCCACACTCACATGGGAGACTCAGAAGAAGCTCCTGGCTTTTGGCTTCAGATCAGATCAGCTCCAGCTGTTGTGGTCATTTGGACAGTGAACCAGTGGATGGAAGACCTTTCTCTCTGTCCCCCCCCCCCCCCATTTCTCTCTCTCTCTCTCTCTCTCTCTCTGAAACTCTACCTATCCAATAAATAAATAAAATCTTAAACAACAACAAAAATGTTGGTGGACATATGGCTGGCTGGGTGATTTTATGTGAGATATCTGCGGCTTCATTTTCTCACCTGTAAAATGGGAGCTATCATGGTAACTTATCTCATAGCATTGTGAGAACTGAGTGAGTTAAAACATGGGAAGTTCTCCAGGCAGAACAGTGCCTCATTTAAAAGAAGTGCTAAAAGGAGCTAGCAGGTTCTATCATCTCCATCATGGTTATTCTAGGTAACTGGTCACCTTGCTTCACCTAGCCCATGATTAGGTTGCTTTCCCTCTCCTTAGGTGCCCAGATGCATATCTAACTGGCCTGGAATTAAACCATGAGGTAAACCCAGCAATTATTCATTTTAAAATTGTATGATTTCATATGGCTGGCTGGTTCCTTTGCTGAAGCAGCAGAACTAAGAATTGCAGGAAAAAATTTAATGGGCAACCATTAAGCTAGCTAATTATAGAACACAGAATTTTCACAATTTTCTTTTCTTTTTTTTTCTTCTTTTTTTTTTTTTTTTTGATATATGCAGTAGCACTGGCATCACCCCAGCCCCAGTACCTACCCACCCTCACCCGACACACACCAGTGCACACTCACTGTCAACCCTTTCTGGGCAACTCGGAAATAGGATTAGAACGATAGATCTAACCAAACATCTGGTTGGAAACTTTAACCTGGGTAGCTCTGCAAGCTCCTGCATTAGCTAAATTCTCCTTGTTCTGCTCAACTTTTCCAGGAGCTAGAATGATATTCACCTTTAATGCAGCCCTTTGATTTTCCTTCATTTCAATTGCAGTAGGGGAAGACAACCTCATAGCAGCCCTTCTCCTTATTATTACCACTTCTATGAAGTTTGTTCTTTCCCTAAAGGGCAGGTTGGTGTTCACCTCATGATGGAGTTGTGAGAATCCAGTAATACACTTTTTAAACAAACAAACAAAAAGAATTGGTGTTTGTTCTATGCAATTATTACTTAGCTTTGCACTGCAGTTCTGTGTTTCCTTGCTTTATCTTTGTAGAGGGATCCAGGACTGTGTATTTATGTCTCTTTACAACCCAGCACAACATCAAACACACATTAGGACTTGCACTCATTCACTCATCAAATATTCACTGCGTTCTTACATGCCCTAAGGTCATTGTTTCCTGTAATAAACAATAAATTCCTTCTTTGCTTGATGAAATTTGCTACCTTGTTCTCTTCAATTGTGATTACCATGTGTTTAGCTTGCAGATAGGGCTATAAAATTCATCTTATTCCCCTCTAGCAGTGCCAGGAAGTTTTCCTGGGCATGACACAACCAGCCTCCCTTGCCTGTTCAATTAAATGGTAGAGCACCTGATATAGTGCTAGTGTCATCGATTCTACTGAATATGCCAACATCCCATTGAGCACGTATCCATTGTAATCCTCAGATGTATGCCTCATTTGTTGTTTATTTAAAAATCTGTCATATCTGCTAGTCCCTAAATGCAATAATTATATATTTTTCATGTTATATTTCCCTCAGCCTTTAGAAATAGCTCCATATCTGATCTAGTAAATAATTTAAAGTAATTATCGATGGAATGAAATCATGGAATGGATGGCAATGTCTTCACTGGCTGCTATAATAAGTATTTCAAACACATATCCATTTACTGTATTTTATTTATTTAGCACTGAGTGAATGCCTATCATGTACTGTAATTAGCTATGCCAAGTGTTTTCATGTTGCACATTGTGCTGCCTTTCTTTGAATACAGATGGAATGTATCATTCTGCTTCTCTCTTTTCTGGGATTTGCAACTTAAAAGGCTTAGATGCAAATGAGAAATGCATTCTGTGAAGTTATGGAAAAAGATCTATTTTAAATATTAGCTATTCCCTTGCCAAACAGCTGAATTTGATATTACTTTATTAAATCCAGATCTATGGGTTTTTTAAGCTTGTTTTTTTTTTTTCAACATAAATTAAACATCAGGGAATAAAGACTGAAAAGTACTCAGTTTCCCAATAAGGAAATGATGCCATACCCTGGAATCACTCTCACCCTGCACGTTCTATACTTAAACTTCATTTAACATGGAGTTGGTTGGAAAATTCAGCTAGCAAATCAGTCTGGTGAATTGTTTCTTTATATACTTTTTGGAATGTCTGGTTATTAAGAAAAAATTGTTTAAAATGGACCCTTTGGGGCTGGTGTGGTGGTACAACAGGTTAGCCACAGTCTGGAACTCCAGCATTCCTTATGAACCTTGGTTAGCATCCCTAACTGTTGGGCTTCCTATCCAGCTCCCTGCTAATGTGCTGGGAAAAGGAGCAGATGATGGCCTAAGTGCTTGAGTCCCTGCCACCCATGTTGGGGACCCAGATGGGGTTCCTGGCTCCTGGTTTCTGCCTGGACCATCCCTGGCATTGTGGCTATCTGGAGTAGTGAATCAGCAAATGGAAGAGCTCTCTCTCTATTTCTGTCTCTTTCTCCCTATTTCTCCCTTTCAAATAAATAAATAAATAACTTTCTTAAAATATGGACCTTTTACTAACAACTACAACTACAAATTCTAAAAGATTTCCTTTTTTTTTTTTTTAAGATTTATTTATTTGAAAGGCAGAGTTACAGAGAGGGAAAAGCAGAGGCAGAGAGAAATGTCTTCCACCTGCTGGTTCACTCCCCAAATGGCCACAACAGTCAGGGCTGGGCCAGACCAAAGCCAGGATCCAGGAATTCTTCTGGGTCTCCCACAGGAGAGCAGGGGCCCAAGTATTCGGGCCATTTTCTGCAGCTTTCCCAGGCACGTTAGCAGGGAGCTGGATGGAAAATGGAGTAGCCAGGACATAAACTGGAACTCATGTGGGACACTGGTGCTGCAGGCAGTGGCTTAACAGGCTGGCCCCAAATTCTAGAAGTCTTGTTGTGAGACACACTGATACTAAAACTATATTTGAAATTTAAATGCATGTTAATAACTGGATTAGGCACTAGCATTTATATAACAAAGCTAGTAGCACTATGCAACAATATAGAAATGATTTTTATTAGCATTAAATATATATAAGAACTCAAAGTACCAGAATGAACCTCACAGTTTATTAGAAATTACATAAAAAGTTCCTGTGGGAAAAAAGCAGTCAAAGACTCAATCACAAATCAAGAACAAAATATATTTTACTATTATCCATATTATATTTATTTAGGAGCCAAAACTATATGAGGAAGCATGAAAACACAAATTTAAGAGAACAGCATTATTTACTTTTATTGTTTTTTAGTCAACTCGATCAATAAATCAAACACAATGACATGCCATTAAGAAATATAGAAGTTACACGTACTATATTATAAAAATATGACGTATATTATTATTTTTAAAGAAAACTTGTAACTGTAAAATACATGTCACTACCACAAAAACTAAACAGACATTTAAAATGTTATGTATTATGTTAAATACACATAAATTTTAGAATTATGTAGTCTAAGAAGATAAGGATGCAGGCATGTAAAAAAGTTTCTATGGATAAACTTTCTGAATGCCATTTGTCTGATTTTCTATATAAAAGGTCAGACCTCATTATAGGAAATACATGTCTGTTTAATATCACAATTATATTTTAAAATACAAGACAATTATTATTTTAGAAAGCAGCCTTTACTTTTTTTTTTTTTAAAAAAAAGCTAGTAGCAGCATGTAAAAAGGGCATTATAAAAAACTGAACAGGGCAACTTTTATCATAAAATGATTTTAAGGATTTATTTATTTATTTTAAAGGCAGAGTTACAGAAAGGGAGAGAAAGAAAAAAAAGATCTTCCATCCACTGGTTCATTTCCCAAATAATTGCAACAGAATGGGTTGGGCCTGGCAAAAGACAGGAACCAGAAACTTAATCCCAGTCTCCCTTGTGGGTGGAAGGGGCCCAAGTACTTGGGCCATCTTCTGCTGCCTTCCCAGGCAGGGAAAGCTGGATCAGAAGAGGAGCAGCTGGGACTTGAACCAGCTTTCTTATGGGATGCCGGTGTCTCAGGTGTCAGCTTAACCTACCATGATGCTGGCCAATACAATGTACTTTTAAATCATTGTACTGATAAACTGTAGATCACAGAGAAGTAGTTATGTTTGCAATTTTTATTTTCTTTGTGTAGATACAAAGTTATCTATCATGTAATTGAAAAGTAGCAAAGTGCTGTTATCGCCTTCACTGTTACAAAGTGCTACACAAAATGTCACATTTCAAAATATGTAACTCCTGGAGATCACAAGGCATCTCCTTGATAGAAGAAACAATGATTTTCTATGTCGAATGAAATGAGATATAAAGGATTAACAGGCAATTGTAAAGATTATGCCAAATACATTTGGTACATAAGGGATTTGGGACAAAGAGATGTTTCTTACACAGAAAAGGTATAAATGTATTTAATGCAAGTTTCATATAAGGGCATCTAACTCCTTCAGTTGTTCTGAGATCTTGATTGGCTGTGGCACTGGTCAGTTCTTTCCTGATTGTCTTATGCCAGCGAATAAGGGAATAAGCATGGAAAATATAAACCTTATGATAATAATGAATGTACATGTTATTTTGCAATAAAATCTGGTTTCTCACTGAAATTTCTATATACTGTTCAGAATGAAGTTTTGATGCATGTGTATGAGTAACATTTTCCTGTTAAAATAAAACACAGAATTTCAGTGTGCCTTCCTCACTGTTTAAAGACGAAGAGTATCACAGTTTTCACCTGAATCTGAGTTTGTCTTCTGTAACAGGACATGGTGAAGGGGCAGAGAGGTTTCACAGGGAAAGAGACAGAAACCATGTTACTCTGTTCCAAAAAAGATCCACCGTTTACTACCTATTTAAGTCAGGGCTTTGGGGTTTTCATGTTCCCTTATATCTTCTTTATAACATTTTATGTGTCTGTTCACTTGGCTAATAGTTCTTAGCTTTTCATGAAGAACTCCTAGTCTCCCAAATGGACACTCAATTCAAACATATTTAGATCATGTTGTTGCACAAGCTCTTAGCCTATCTGCCAAAGCTAACATCCAATAAAAACAGGCTGCAAAGCAGAGAACTATACTTGCAAGTAATTGAGGTTGACTCTCAGCCTAATGCAATGTTTATATTTTCCATAACTGATGATTTGCCGTGTCTCTCTAGATTGATGAATGTTGTGGTGGAGATCTTTCAAAATACATGAAGTCCTAAAATTAGAAAGAGAAGTATATGTATGTAGATTAATGGATACTTACATATAACGCATACAATATCATTCTTCATATCTTATCAGGGAAATCTGTTATAGTAAAAAATAAATAAATCTGATAAAATCTTTATAAAGAAGACCTAATGTGACCAACAACAATTACAAACTCAGAACTGTTGGTAGAAAAAATGTGTTCCAGTTTGAGTAACAATGAACTAAATTCCATTATTAAAGGGAGGAAAAAACTGATAACTCTGATGCCACAGCAAAGAATACACTGACAGAGAGGCAGTAAAGAAGGGGAGAAAAGGACATCATCTTTAGAGTTATTATATTTCATTAAAAGAATCAGATGATAGGCATTTTTAGGTACGAGAATAAGTAGCATTGCAAATAACATGTAATGATGGCAGTTACACCAATTGAATATCTAATATCTCCAAGCATTCTCCTGGCTACTTTATTTATGATAGTTACTATTCGTAACCTTGAAAAACCTATTTTTATTTAGATTTTGAATATAAGGAAACAGATTTTTTTTTTTTTTTTTACAGAGTGGACAGTGAGAGAGAGAGAGACAGAGAGAAAGGTCTTCCTTTTGCCATTGGTTCACCCTCCAATGGCCGCTGCAGCCGGTGCACCGCGCTGATCCGAAGCCAGCAGCCAGGTGCTTCTCCTGTTCTCCCATGCGGGTACAGGGCCCAAGAACTTGGGCCATCCTCCACTACACTCCCGGGCTACAGCAGAGAGCTGGCCTGGAAGAGGGGCAACCGGGACAGAATCTGGCGCCTCTACTGGGACTAGAACCTGGTGTGCCAGTGCTGCAGGCGGAGGATTAGCCTATTGAGCCGTGGCGCTGGCTAGGAGACTGAGATTTTTCTTGTGCTAAATGCTTTGCAAAATTATGCAACTAGTAAGTGGCACAGACATAAATTGGCCAGGTTTCAAAACTTATTCCTTTTCCACTGCATTACACTGCTTGTCATCAAAAAGATAAGCCTCTCAGGAAAATTCAAAAACCAAAGGCTTACAATGAGGAAGCAAGCTCCAAAAATCATAGCTTTCATCTTCACGTCCATGTCCATCGGGAAGTGAATGTCAAAGTGGTCAGCATCCCCCATTGCTGATAACAAACCGTTCCACTTCCTAATGATATTGCCAATGTTGGATACACCATCAAGGGATTGAACCTAGAATGTTAAGAATGTAACTTCATGAAAACTGAAAGGTATAACTGTAAGGCTTTAGACTGCTACACAGAAGCAGTTTACACTGAGCTAGCATAAATACAATGCAGGAACAGAATGTCATTAAATAGGATCCAGTTGTGGTAGAGCTGATTAAAACTACCGCTGGAGACACCAGCATCACATATTTCATATAATTACATAATTACAAATGAGGATATTATGGCCAAGAAGGGTTAAGGCCTTAAAGCTGGTTAATACCTAAGCTGGGATACCTTACAATTTTCAGGCTGGTGCTCTGTTTTCATCTTCAAATTATTAGGAGACTTTGTCAGAGGGCATGTGATTTGAATAGATTATGTGATTCTCCATGTTGCAATGGAAGGTGTCACTTCCAATCCAAGAAAACCTACGAGTAAAGTAGGGCACTGGTACTGTGTACTCTGCAAAACTCCAGATTCTTGTGGGCCAAGCCGCACTGTCATTTTCACATGTCAGAGTAGCAAAGGGCTTCAGCTTCTAAGAGGGGCACACTGGCAATTGCCATGGGGAAAACACTTGAATACTAACTTCTAATGTCACTTGGCATAGGAATTGTCACACACTGATTGCTGCAGCAATTGGCTTATCCACATTTTCTAAAATGGTAAATGATACAGTGATAAAAATTAAGAAATGTTTAATAATCATAAGATTTATCATCAGAAAGAGGAAACTTAGTAGATGATGAGCCTTGGTAAGTTGCAGGGTACTCAAAAAGTACTCTTAAGGAAGTCCAAGAAATATTACTAGGAATTTCCTTTACCAGGTGTATAAGGTAATAAACAGCCATTTTGCAGCCACTGTAGACAAGGCAAAACAAAAAGATTGTTCATTTTCTTGAAAGAAAGATAAAATGCAACCTGCTATGCATTTTACCTATGCTATCAGTGTTATCCTATATCTTGAGTATGCATACAGACTTCCATCCTGCAAATAAACAATCTGTAAAACCTTAGAAGTGTTGAGCACTTGTGTTAACTACAACCTATATTCTCATTATGAAAATCTTTGGGAAAATGACTAATTAAATATAGCCAAGAATTAAGGGCATTTGAAAAGCACAGAGACAGACAGAGAGAGAAATGTTCCATCCACTGGTTCACTCTCCAGATGCCTTCCACAGCCAGGTCTGGGCCAGGTGGAAACCAGGAGATTGGAACTACATCCAGGTGCCCCACATGGATGGCAGGGACTCAAATACTTAACTCAAGTACTTGAGCATCACACGCTGCCTTCCTGCATGCACATTAGCAGAAAGCTAAATTGCAAGCAGAGAAGCCAGGACACTGAATCATGCACTCTGATACTGCGTTGTAGGCATTCCAAGTGGTGGTTTACCCTGCTGTGCCATGGCAGCAGCTCTCAAGGTTTAGTATTTTAAATGCTTTCTTTTGATCTTCATGAAACACTGAAATCACAAAAAAGGAGCTCACATTCAGGAAACCATCAATTTGTAACTCTTTCCTCACACAACTTACTTCATTCATGTGAAAAGATCATTCTGGGGTCTGTTGTTTCTTAACGAGTTGTTTACTTACTTACTTACTTACTTGAGAGGCAGAGTTACAGAGAGAGGGAGAGACAGAGAGAAAGGTCTTCCATCCACTGGTTCACTCCCTAAGTGGCCACAATGGCCGGAGCTTGGCCAATTCAAAGCCAGGAGCCAGGAGCTTCCCAGGACTCCCATTCAAGTGCAGGGGCCAAACCACTTGGGCCATCTTCTACTACTTTCCCAGGCCATACCAGAGAGCTGGATTGGAAGCGGAGCAGCTGGGACTTGAACCTGAGCTCATATGGGATGCAGGCCCAGCAGGCGGTGGTTTTACACACTAAGTGACAACACTGGCCCCTAAACAATGTTTTTATAAATGCTCACCTCAAAAACAGAATCTGAACCGCAGCCATAGGTTGAGCATGGCCCACGCACTCGCATTACATTCTCTTTCTTCTCATTTTGGATGCTGTAGACTGCCCTGCACAAATTCCAATGTTCTGCCACAAAGCCAATGGTGACCCCAGGAGGACACTGCACTTCCAGCTGCAAGTGAAACAGTGAAAGAGCTTAGGAAGCTGTGTATCTACAAATCCATAGAGTTACACATGCACGGATTGGAGAAATTATTGCTGAGAGAAAGTCTCCCATTTTACCAGTTCCATCCTGAGGGCTGTACTGCAGTGAGTGGTCTTAATTGGTGAGTTTCACGTTTCCCTTCAGGACAAAGAGCAGGCATTATTACTGCTTGCTATAAAGCAGCCAGGTGCCCAAGTTCTGTTTCTAAGCTACATGTCCAGCATCACCAGTACTCTTCCCATCAATCCCTAGAATTCGGGAGCACGGGGGAGCAGCACTAACATGCTGATGTTCATGCTGCTTGCTGTGCTGTAATAATGTCCCTTGTCACTAATCTAAGACCCTGTGTCTTCTGACACAACTCATGACATGCTAACAAGATAGCTTCTTAGATTTTAAATTGGATGAAATAGAATCTCAGATATGACAATTATAAAAGAAAACGAAAGAGAAAGGTTTTCTGGAAAGTATATACTGTGAAAACAACAGAGTGTGTATATCGGTATATAAAATCATTTTTCAAGAATTTTAGAGGATTGTTCACTATCTTGTTTTAGCTAATCATCTTTACAGTAGTCCATGTGAAGGACTTTAATAACAAGACTCATAAAGATTAAATTATTTGGCAAAAAGCCCCAGATAAAGTTTTATTCACTATTTCTCTGCTATTATACATATTTTCCTAAGCATTTTATGAATGGACTACCCAGGACACGGGACAGGATGATTCAACTTCATGAACTGTCAAACTAAGATATTATTATTGTTCATATTCTTGGATGCAAACTCACTCCAATACACAAATATGTAAATTTGATTGCTTCCTAAAACTGAAACCTCCTATAAGTCTGAAAATTATATAAAAATAAATTACTTTTAAAAATTTCATCATATCATACCTCTCAGCCATAAAAAGGAATGAATATATTAATAAACATACATTCAATATATAAATAATCTTTATAAATTAATATAATTAAATATTATATGAATAATATAAATATACAAAATTAATATAGATATTAAATAAATGTCAATTGTATTAATATACGCAAATAACAACTTGTATGAATCTCAAGGTAAAAAACTAATCCTGAAAAGGTTACATACTATGTAATTACATTTCTAGAAAATTATTGAAATGACAAAATTATACAGATGGAGAACAGGTTAGCAGTTCCCAGGGGATAGGGATGAAGAGAAGAGAGGAAAGTGATGTAATAAAAGGAGATTGGGGATGTGCATTTGACATACAGTTAAGACGCTGCTTGGGATGCCCCATCCCATTCAGAGTGCCTGGGTTTGAGTCCTATTCACTTCCAATTCCAGCTTCCTGCTAATGCACATTCCAAAAGGCAGCAGATGGTGCCTCAAGTAATTGGGTCCCTGCCACCCACATGGGATACCTGAATTAAGTTCCAGGCTCCTGGCTTTGGCCTGACTCAGCCCTGGCTGTTGTGAGCATTTTTGATGTACACCAAAGAAAGAAGATCTCTCTCTGTCTGTCACTATCTCTGTTTCTTTCAAATAAAAATAATTAAGAATGTAAAACAGAAAAGAGGGATTTTATAGTGATGAAGCTGTTTGGCAGTGGTGGGGGATACAGAAATTGTTACAGCCGATAAAACTAAATAAGCACATGCACAAAAGAATACAAGCAAAACTGGATAAGTATGAAAAAAATCTAGATAATAATTAGATAAAGTTTCATAAATTAGGATAAATTTGTAATATTGATTGCTTTACACTATCCTGGCTTTCTGTATTCTCAGAAGGCTTTATTTGTAGGCTTCCATTTAAAAATCTCAAGTCACAGATATAAAGAACAATGCCTATTATTTCTAAAATGATCAAAGATAAGAGGTACAGATTTACTTCAAATATGTTATTGCAAAGACAATAAGGATAAAGATATGTTTGTTATTGCAAAGATAATAAGGATAAAGGAGCAAGATATCTGAGAACAAATATCATTCATTGAGCATAATACTACTTACAGGACATCATAAACACAGTATTCCAGACATGCATTTACTCTTTAATCCCTTAAATAATAAGTTATCCTCTCAGATAGGTACTATCAATATCTCCAATTTACAGGTAAATCAATTCAGGCATAGAAATGGCTATAAGTAAATATTTAGTAAATGCTGGTACTGAGCACATAACTGACATATCCTAGTAATCCTACGTGGTATTATTTTATCCAGTTTATGAATCAGAATACCAAGGATCAAAGAGTTTAAATAAATTACCTAGATTTAAGTAAGCACTGTATCTGAAATCTAAACCATGCTTGACTTCTCCACAGTTTTTCCTCTGTAACAAACAATTTTCTTAGAACTTCACAGGTAATAAAAAAGTAACCCAACTGTAAATGAACACACCTACATTCTAGTTCCAGTTCTGTCATCTGCCAAATGTGGCACCTACTTCAACCTCTTAATCTTTGTGAGCTGCTCTTTACCTGTAGAAAAGGGGGATGGGATAGTTCCAAGGTACCTGTGAGCCCTGCCAATTTTAAAGCGTATGTTTCAACTTAGCATTACCTTATCTGGTGACACACAGGTACCTTTAGAAAAATGTAGGTGACTACTGTCAATCTCCGTAAATTTCTAAATCAGTAGACACAACTTACAGAATTGCTGTCATTCCCTGCACAACCCTAATTTGTGCTTGATCCGCTGACTTTCCCTTGAACAATGTGAACCCACAATAAAAAGCCCTCTGTGATTTCCTTGATGAGATTATTTGAATTCCTTCCTCCTCACAATCTTCTTCTGCTGTGAGTGACAGCCACTGAAAATCCTATCCTGTATAGTTTGGAAAGAGCACAACCATTCTGTAAAGAGTTGGATCAGGAAGAAAACAGTAGATTAGACTTCCATTCTCTGACCTCTTGCCTGGCCGAGGGGCAACAAAAGCAGCAGCAGGTGCATCTGAAAGGCCTCTGCATTGTCATAATTTCTCGTCCCATGAAGTCAGTGACCCGAAGGACGAAGGGCCTTAATGTCCGGTAGGCATTCCTGGTATAGTCATCGGTGTCTTCAGTTACAAAGTAAACCATCTGGTTTGCGTTGTTTTTAATATCATATCTGTTATTAGTTTCAAAATGTGTTATCACTAAAACATAAAGAAAGAAAGCCATCTTGAATTAGAACTATACAAATGAGCAACCACAAGTCTCTGTTATTTCTTAGGAGCTTAATTTAAAAATTTCAGTTGAAAATATACCATTGATTAAAACACTAAAAAAAGGGTCCTATAAATATTTAAGTAATGCTGAACATGTAAAACATTTACCTTAAGAAATTCACTGTAAAGTGCTTTTTAAAAACAATTCTACATAAAAGCAAAGATTGAGACACTCTTCCTGAAGTATTTGAAATCAGAACAATTATAAAACCACTTAAGTGGAATTACAAATTGGACCATAGATTAATCAGCTCATAACATATGCCACAATGACTAGCTGCATCATTAATTTCAAATAAAAAAACCAACCAAGAAAAGTGAAAGGCCCTATGTGGTGGAGAAACAAATATGTAAAGCCAGCACAGTGAGGGTCAGAAATCTCATCAATGAAAACTGAGAATAGACATCCTTTTGACCACGATCATTTCTTTTTTTTTCCAAAGCAAGGGCACTGAACCAGAACTCAGCATCTATAGATTTGAATCCTCCTCTGCCATGTATTAGCAGACTATAGTGCCCCTGCTAGCTCATTTGGCCTCTTAAGTCTTTCTTTTATTCACCTATGAAAGGTGACTACAAGGAGGAAGAATGAGCATGGGGGATGTTGACCAGATAAAATGTAAGTCCTGTTCAAGCTTATGAGCAAATGATAAATATGCAGATAAACTTATTCAAAATGATGTGTCTTATTACTTTCTTAAAGATAGGATAATAAGAATAGTCTTTTCTCTTTAAACTACTAAAATTGATCAGCTAAAGAAAGAATTATATATTAGACAATGCAAACATCCACTTGATTAAAATACTGAATGCTACAAAATTATACATACTTTCCAGAGGCTCAAAATGTTGAAGAACATGTATGTTGTCCAACTGTTGGGAAAAAATAATGAAATTAGAAGCTAGAAATAACAAAATTAAATCAAATTAGTATTAGAAAAGAAACTGATGAGATGGGTATTAAAATAATCAATTGATACCAAAATGTTTTTGAAACTGAAAAGAACAATTATCAAATGAAATTAGCTTGTCTACATCTGATCAGATGGATAGTAGTGGACTTATTCAGACAAGACAAACACTTTCCTTAAGTTGCACTTAAAAACAAAATTAAACAAAAGAAGGGCAGGTGCTTGGCCCGGCAGTGAAGACATCACTTATGACTCCAACATCAAATATCAGAGTACCTGGCTTTGATCCCAGCTCCGTTCCCAATTCCAGCTTCCTGCCATTGCCCACCCTGGGAGACAGGGGGTGATGGCCCAAGTGGTTGGGGCCCCACAACCCATGTAGGAGACCTGGGTTGAGTTCCTGGCTCCTGGCTTTGGCTTCATACAGCCATGACTGTGGCAGGCATTTGAGAAATGAGCTAGTAGATGGTATGGGAGGTCTGTTTTCTGTCCATCTCTCTCAGTCTGCCTTTCAAAAAAAAGTTGCCTGATATATCAAAAAAAAAAAAGTCTAGTTGCCATAGTAACAGCATCTTGAAGAAGCGTATTTGTATTGATTGTTCCTAGATGATTCCCTACTGACATCCCAATCAGACTGAAGATCAAGTTCAGAACAATTTAACAGGGACAAACCAGAGAGAAGGCAATTCTCTCAGTGACTTAGGAACAGCCAACAAGCCAGGGTGAGTTCACATGGAGTGTCCACTGAAATAATTTAACAGTAACCTCTGGGAGGGGCCAATATACAGAGCGAGGGCCTGTGAGGGCAGAAATCACATGAATAGAATTAGGGGAAGGAAGAGAGAGCCTTCTTAGAAAGCAATCCATGAAGAGGGAGGATGAGAATACCACCAGAACAATCTGTAACTTAACTTAGGAATCACTCTAAAGATACTTTGTTGGGGCTATAATTTGCGATTCTTGGAAACATTCTAGTAGAAGAGAAGCAACCTCCTTGAGGATAAACCGATCAATTCTACATAACTTTAGATCCTTAGAACGTCCCAAATCCCTGAGTCTGGAGTATGGCTTGAAATGTCATATTTCACAAAATATTCATTGTATACACTAACTAATAACAAATAAATGAATGTGGGATTAAATAAAATTTAAAAATATCTGAACATGAATGTTTTGTCATAAGATTAATTAGAGGAGGGTGTAGAAGGACAAATCCATGCTTAAAAACTTTCTTATATGAAAATACAATCAAGTGAGAAGACACACATGTCTCAAAAAATATGAAAGTGGCTACCAAAATGTTACAGTCCCTGTTAAAAATCTGGGATACTGAAATCTGGAACTACAAAATAAAAATATTCACTACTTTAAAAAAGTATATACAGTAGATGAAAATATTCTGAAATGATGCCTATAAACATGGAAGAAGTTTACTCAATAATATCCTACACCTGTCAAGGAGTAGTTCATGGACAAATTAAGGTAAAGAAAGACAAAAGTCAGTATTCTAGAAATAATATCCTCCTGCTACTCTGGATCTTAAGGATCTCACAAAAATCCATGCAATGCATGTATGAGATCTCAAAAAAAGACTATGGTAGACAGAGGAAAATTATTGGCTCCATGTCTTATATACAAGAAGGAGTTTCAACAATAACATTTACACAGCTATCATCCACTATTCAGGACCACTGTGCCAAAAATATTGCAAGATTTATTTCATTAATGACAAATTGGTAATGTAGGTATTATCTGTACTCTATTATAGGTGATGAAATGCAAACTAAGACTCAAGGTTTTAGTTAGTAGGTACTGAAGAAGGGTTAAAAACCTAGTTTGGGTATTGGCGTTGTGATATGGCAGATTGAAAAGCTGCTTGGGTGCCGGCATGCCATATTGGATTGGCGGTTTGAAGTCTTAGCAGATCTGTTTCTAATCTGGCTTCTGCTAATGTGTCTGGAACTACAGGGGATGATAGTTCAAGTACTTGGGTTCCTGCCACCACCGTAGGAGACATGAAATTTCAGGCTCTTGGCATTAGCCTGGCCCACACCCAGCTGTTGCAGCCATTTGGTGAATAAACCAGAAGATCTGTTGCTCTGCCTTTCAAATAAATAAATCTTTTTTAAAAGACACATTTGTGTAGTTCCAAATATGTGCTTTATTTGTTTTCTTTTTCATTTTGTTAATTAGAAATATTCCTGAAAGGAAAAATGGAACTAAATATGTTAATTTAACTTCAATCAGTGTAATAGAAGAAATTGAGAAATTGTTTTATAATACTTAACACAGCTACACATCTTTAAAAGATAAATTATTGCTGAGGATATTAGACTGCCAAGAATAATTTCTGTATTTATCAACAAGTATATAATGAAACTTTCTAAATTTGATTACCCATAAACACTTCATAATTTTGTGAAATAGTGTAGGAATTTATTCCAGCATTTTATCTGAGTGGCTGGCTTTTTGTATTTTGTCAATAATTTGCCCAAACAATAATTTAATTAAGTTTTTGGCAAATGTAAAATCACAATTTTTCTTTTTTTTTAGATGTATTTATTTATTTATTTATTCTGACGGAGTTACAAAGGGAGGGGAAACACACACACACACACACACAGAGACAGAGAGAGAGAGAGAGAGAGAGAGAGAGAGAGAAATCTTCCATCTGCTAGTTCACTCCCCAGATGGCTGCAATGGCTTGTGCTGATCCAGGTTCAAGCCAGGAGCCAAGAGCTTCATCCAGATCTCCCACAAGGATGGCAGAAGCCCAAATGCGAGGACCATCTTCTACTGCTTTTTTCAGGCTATTCACAGGAAGCTGAATCAGAAGTTGAGTTTCCAGGACACAAAATGGTGCCCATATGGGATGCGGGCATCTCAAGTGGTGGCTTTACTCACTATACCACAATGCTGGTCCCCAAATTCAAAGTTTTTCTAATCTAACTGGTAAGCATACTTCAAAAGCTTTGTGAAAAAAGAAATACAAGATAATGCACATTTCCATGAACTTTTTGAAGATCCATTGTGTTAACTTTCATACATCAACACTATAGTATCATGCCAATGGATTTCAATAGGCAAAACAAACACAGTCCCTCCCTATCAATATACAGAATTGAGAAGAGGAATGTGTCAACTCCACGGAATATTTAACTATCTGGGGAGACAGGTATTGAGTTGCAAAGTTCTGCTTAGGGTGTTTTTCTTTTCTTCTTTTAAATTTGCATTTATCTGAAATGCATAGTGACATAGAGGGAGAGGCAGGAAGAGACAGAGATAGAGAGAGAGAATCTTCCAAGCTCTAGTTCAGTCCCCAAATGCTTGCAAAGGCCAGGGTGTTGTCAGGCTATCCTCAGGAACTCCATCCCTGTCTCCCACATGGGTGGCAGCACACAAGAACTTGAGCCATCATCTGCTGCCTCTTAAGAGTGTGCATTAGCAGGGAGCTGGAATTAGGAGCAAAGCCAGGACTTAAACACAGGCACTCTGATAAGGAATGAGGCTATCCCAAGCAGTGTCCCAAACCTTACCCCAAACATGCACCTCTGCTTTTATAAATATTTTTTTAAAAACGTATTTATGTATTTGAAAGGCTTATTTATTTATCTGAAAGGCAGAGAGACCGGGGTAGGGGAGGGTGGGAGAGAGAGAGAGAGAGATATGCCAGGAATGCAATTCAGGTCTCCCATATGGGCAGCAAGAAGCCTGTTATTTGAACAATCTCCACTGTGCCCAAGGGTCTGCAATAGTGAGAATCTGGAGTTAGGAGTGGGAGCAGCAGGGAACCCAGGCACTCTAATGTGAGACAGATATCTTAACTCCCTCTGCTAACCTTCCAGTAGTTTATGATGTTTTCTAATACTTCCTGTTTCCAAAAGCAAAATAAGATTCAGAAAGGGACTTCTGCCACTAGTTTTCCATTGTTTTCATTACACAGGTTTTTTTTTTTTTTTTTTAGTTTTTGATGTGGGTTTTCAAATAGCATCATTTGCACCCCAACTTTGCACATTACGCTGGTTTTTGCATCAGAATGTCTTTGCAGATAGAAATTCATGCTTTTCTGGAACTTGGCCTGAAGCAGTATTCTCGGTAGTATTCTTGTTATGTTTTGGGGAGTGGCAGAAGTGGATGGTGAACATTTTGGGTTGTGAGGAAAAGCAGTATGCTAAGGCACTCAGTAACTCACCCAGTGTCTAGTGCTCTGCTCTTTCTTATGTTGATTTTCTTCATGTTAACTCTTGCAAGGAATTGGCATCCATGATACCTTTTTTCTATGGCTATCACTATTCCTATTTTTCTACTACCTTCAAAAATACATCTTGAGTGTTATAAAACTCTACATGGATCCTTTTATGAAAACAATACTCATTTCAAGGGCCGGCGCCGCGGCTCACTAGGCTAATCCTCCGCCTTGCGGCGCTGGCACACGGGCACCGGGTTCTAGTCCCGGTTGGGGCACCGGATTCTGTCCCGGTTGCCCCTCTTCCAGGCCAGCTCTCTGCTGTGGCCCGGGAAGGCAGTGGAGGATGGCCCGAGTACTTAGGCCCTGCACCCCATGGGAGACCAGGAGAAGTACCTGGCTCCTGCCATCGGATCAGCGCGGTGCGCCGGCCGCGGCGGCCATTGGAGGGTGAACCAACGGCAAAGGAAGACCTTTCTCTCTGTCTCTCTCTCTCTCACTGTCCACTCTGCCTGTCAAAAAAAAAAAAAAAAAAAAAAAAAAAAAAAAAAAAAAAAAAAAAAAAAAAAGAAAACAATACTCATTCCACAAAAGACATCCCTCTTCACATTCTGGAAATCAGTACCACAATGGAAGAGTCTCATACATTCCTATAGTCTCATAAATTGGGCAACTGTCATCACTGCTCCATCTTATTCATGCTACCCAGCCTTTGACTCCTCTCAGATCCCCATGGTCATCCTTCATAAGAAAATTATCTGGATTTGCATGCCATACCTGAGCTAAGTATTCCAGACCTGGAGGGCAGTTTGGCATAGGAGGTGGTCCTGGCATCCATGTTATTGGAGCAAGCTGATTCGGCATAGGATATTTGCCAGGTTGATATTGGATGGGATAAGCAGTACCAATTGGCTGGTACAAGGGGAAGGTACTGGGCTGCTGCAGACTATAGTATCCTATAGGCAAGCCTGCTGGGTAGCCTGTAGGTAGGGGAGCAGCTTCTCCTGGGGGTCCTGTGTTCAAAAACAAATGAAAGTGCTAAACATTATTATCACTACAATATATCGAAAGTTAACATGACTTTTTCCATGGAGACAAAGTAGGTCAAAAAACATGTACATGAATAGGATATGCTATTCCATTTTCTGAGTGTGCACTGTGTTCCAACAACACACTAAGTGGATGATTTACATACAAATTAACTTAGTCCTCTTAAACCTTATAAGATAGTTATTTTTTACTTCAGAGATGCATAAATAAGGTTTGCAACACAAAGTAACAAGTTAATCTCCCAATGCATGAGGTACCTCCTTTGGAGACAGCAGCTACACTTTATTAGGTTGTAGTGGGATTAGCACAAGGCCTAGCACATAATTATCACTGTAGAGTTTTGTTACTTTATTCTTGTTATTGCTTAAGGTCACAAAGATAGTAGGGTTACTTTACTTCCAATGTTGGGCTGCCTTTGATTCAATCACTTGTTTGTATCTTCATCTAGTTCTCAGAGTGTTGCTTACATCCTGATATCTTAGATTCAATTTATTAAGCTTATTGTCTTAGAAATTGGCGCGGATATGACAAAACACAAGAATGCACTTGCTTAAACAAGCATTTGGCCTCCAAGTTCTGGGAACCAGGAAGTCTAAAATCAAGTGCTAGGCATGGTCAAGCCTGGTGAGAGCCCTCATCAGGGTTTGCAGATGACTGACTTCTTCCTATGTCCTCACTGGGTAGAGAGGCAGAGATTCTCCTTTATGTTATCTCTTTTAAGGGCACCAATCTCACGATGAAGGCTCTACTCTCATAACCGAAATATCTCTGAAAATCCTCATCTACAAAAACTGTAGTGTGGGGAATTAGAGCTAAATTACGTGAATTTGGGTGAGGGTATATGTGTTGCGGGTAGGAGGGGAGGTGATACAAATATCCAGACCATAGCAGTTATCTTTCAGCTGAAGCCCTGTGAACAGAAAAGCCACAAGCAGCCCACAAGCATTTTTCTCTGAACTGCCAGGAGGGCCACAAGCAGATAAAAAAGGCTTTCTTCTTTCAAACATTTAAAAACAAGATGTCTTATGGAAAGTCTTGTAAAAACAAATTGCAAGCTATTTGGTGTTAAGATTTAAATATTGATATGTTTTGGTTAAAATCAAGCAAAATCAGCTTTATAATAGCCGAGAATCCAAATATGATGAATCCTTGCTGGTTGTACGTGAGGGAACTTGAAACAATGGAACTAGATTTTCTAGATTATCAAAGACAACATTTAGAATATACTACTCTTAAGTTTAGACAAAAGTCATTTAAACGACATACTGTTTTTAAATTCTAGCTCAATACACCAACTGCTCTAAAATAATGTGAAGTGGTCAGTAAAACTGCAGCTGTCTAGACCATCTTCTGTTCTGCATCAGAAACTCTAAGGCAGAAAAATATCTTCTTTCAATGATTCTATTATAAAATAGAGTCCAGTGGCTTTTAGTGTATGCTCAAAGTTGTAGAACACAAAATACTATCTAAATTCAGAAGTCTCTTCACCCCAGAAAGGACACACAATGATAGCAATTCCCTTTCCTCCCTCCCCACAGGCCCTGAAAACCACTGTCTCCAAGAATTTGCTTAATGTGGACATTTCATGACAATGAAATCATAGAATGTGTATGGTGGTTTCTTTAAGCTAGCACGCTTTCAATGGTTACCTATGTTATAGTATATACCAGTACATTTCTTTTTATGGCTGTCTAATACTTTATTATATGGGTATATTAACATTTTATATAGCATTTATTTTTAAAATTTGCATTTATTTATTTGAAAGGCAGAGAGACAAAGATACAAAGACAGAAGAGACAGGGAGAGAGATGAAGATAGAAAATCAGAGACAGCAGAGAGAAATCTTCAATCTGCTGGTTCTTCAATCTGCTGGTTCACTACTCAAATGCCCATAAAAACTAGGGATAGTCCAGGCTGAAACCAAGAGGTCAGAACTCAGTCTGATTCTCCCACATGAATGTCAGGGACTCACCTACTTGATCCATCACCTGCTGCCTCCTAAGGTATGCATGAGAGAAAACACTAGAATCTGAGGTGGAGCTAGGACTCCAACTAGGACATTCCAATATGGGATGTGGGCACCCTATGTGGCATCTTAATCTTTTTGCCAAATGTCTCTCCCACTGCATCCTTTAGCAAGTTGATTGGCATTTGGGCTATTACAAATAATGCTTCTGAGATCATCCAGGTACAGATTTGTTGTGGATATATGTTTTTCATTCTCTACCCATGAGTGAACTTGGCTTGGGTATTTAACTTTGTGAGTAACTGCCAAAATGTTTTCCAAAGTGACATCACCATCTCACATTCCTATCTGTAGTGTATAAGAGTTCTAGTTTCTCTACATCCTCATTAATACTTGTTTATTGCTTGCCTTTCACTTCACTCATGAAGTGATACCTCACTGTGATTTTGATTGAATTTTCTGAACACTAATGATGTTGAGCATCTTTTCATATTTTGGCTACTTGTACAAATGCTTTTGGAGAAATAGCTACACAAATCCTTTGCCCATGGTAAAATTAAATTGTTTGTCTTTTTGCTGCTGCATTCAAAGTGTTCTTCATATGAGCATATTCAAGATGAAAGGCCCTTGCCGAAAAAGATGGTTTACAAGTATTTCCTCTCATTTTCTAAGCTGCCTTTTCTTTTTCTTGATAGTATCCTTGAAAAAAATTGAGTTTTATTACATAAATTCAATTGTGCTTTGCTTCATTACACTTTGCAGATAATTATGTTTTTTACAAATTGAAGGCTTGGGCAACCCTATATTGTGCAAGTTTATTGGTGCCATCTTTCCAACAGCATGTTCTCAATTAGTGTCTCTATGTCACATTTTGGTAATTCTCAAATATTTCTAATGTTCTCATCATTATCTCTGTTTTGGTGATTTGTGATCAATGCTGTTTGATATTATTATTGTAATTATATTGTGGTGCCATGAATTGCATCCATATAAAATTGTGAGCTTAACTGATAACTGTGGTTTGTGTTCTGACTGCTATACTGACAGCTGTTCCTTCAGCCCTCTCCTTCTCCCTAGGTCTCCCTAGTCCCTGAGATAGAACAATACTTAAATTGGGGCAATTAGTAACTTATAATGGCTTCTAAGTATTCCAGTGAAAGGAATAGTCATGTATTCTACTTTAATCAGGGTGGGAAACCTTTTTTCTGCCAAGGGCCATTTGGATATTTATAACATTCACAGGCCATACAAATCATCAACTTAAAAGTCAGCCTGCCATAGATTTACTGAATTTTGAGTCCTGCTGTGATTGCCTTGGCAGGGCCAAACCAGATAATTTTGCAGGCCTTAAACAGCCTGCTGGCTACATGTTCCCCACCCCGGCCTTAAATCAAAAGCTAGCAATGATTAAGCTTAATGAGTAAGGCATGTTGAAAGCCTGGATAGGCCCAAAAAACTGTAACTCTTGTGCCAAGCAGTGCAGTTGTAAATGCAACAAAAAAGCTCTTGAAGGAAATTAAAAGTTCTGCTCCAGTGAATCTACAAATGATAAAATAAATGCAAAATGATAGCACATTGCTGATATAGAGAAAGTTTTCGTGATCTGGATAGAAGATCAAATTAGCCACAACAATTTCTGAAGCCAAATCTATTCTACAGCAAGCTGCTGACTCTCTTCAAGTCTATGCAGGCTCAAAGAGGTGAGGAAGCTGCACAATAAAGTTCAAAGCTGGTAGAGCTGGTTCATGAGGTTAAAGGAAAGAAACCATTTCCATAACACACAAGTGCAAGATAACACAACAAGCTATCCAGAAGATCCAGCAAACACAACTGATGAGTGTGGCTACACTACACAACAGATTTTGAACGTAGTCTAGACATCCCTATAGCAGAGGAAGATCCTACCAGGATTTTAATAGCAAAAGAGCTCAACACCTGTTGTCAAAGATTTAGAGGAAAGACTGAGTCTCTTGTTAGAGGCTAACGCAACAGGCGACTTTAAGTTGAAGCCAGTATTCATTCAACATTCCAGAAATCCTAGGGCCCTTCAGGAAAGAAATTTAATCCATTCATACCTATGTTCTATAAGTGGAATCAGATATGGCATCATATCTATTTACAATATGGTTTACTGGATTATAGTAAGACCACTGTTGAAATACACTGCTCAGAAAAAACCCTCTTTTAAAAGTGTTGCGGCTCACTGACAATGCACCTAGTTATCCAAGGGATGATGGAGACGTACAATGAAATTTATGTTGTTTTCACGGCTACTAACACAACACTGATTCTGTAATCCATAGATCAAAGAGTAATTTTGACTTTCAAGTCTGCTTATTTAAGAAATATATTTAATAAGGCTTATGCTGCCACAGACCATGATTCCTCTAATAGATCTGGGCAAAGTAAACTGAAAACCTTCTGGAAAGGATTCACCATTCTCAGAGGAGGCAAGAATATCAACATTAACAGAAGTTTGGAAGAAGTAGACTCAGGCCCTCAGAGTGACCTGAAGCGGGCTCAGATTCAGTGGAAGAAGGCACGGCACACATAGTAGAAATATCAAGGGAACTAGAATTTAATGTAGAGTCCGAAGACGTGACTGAATTGGCACGATCTCATGATACAACTTAAAATAAATCTATTTATTTTATTTACTTTAGAGGCAAAGAGACATACAGACAGATCTCCCATCTGCTGGTTCACTCCCCAGATACCCTCAATAGCTTTGGCTGAGCCAGCCAAAGCTGGGAGCTGGGAATTCAATGCATGTCTCCCATGTGTGTGGCAGGAACCCAACTACTTGATTCGTCCTCTGTTGCCTTCTGAGTGTGCATTAGTAGGAAGCAGGAATGAAGAATGTAGCCAAGTCCTTCAATATAGGATGCTGGCATCCCAAGAGACCTCTTCACCACTAAGCCAAATACCTGTCCCATCATGGTAGAACTTTAATGGGCAAGGAGCTAATTCTTACGGATGAGTAAAGGTGCCACT